TATTTGTTGCGTGTAAGCAGATACGAACTACGGATTTTCACGGATCCTAAACAAATCCGACACCCGAATCTTCCCGTATTTGTTGCGTGTAAGCAGATACGAACTACGGATTTTCACGGATCCTAAACAAATCCGACATACGAATCTCCCCGTATTTGTTGCGTGTAAGCAGATACGAACTACGGATTTTCACGGATCCTTAACAAATCCGACACCCGAATCTTCCCGTATTTGTTGCGTGTAAGCAGATACGAACTACGGATTTTCACGGATCCTAACCAAATCCTAAACCTGAATTCTCCCGTATTTGCTGCGTGTAAGCAGATACGAACTACGGATTTTCACGGATCCTCACCATGTCCGAAACCTGTACTCTCCCGTATTTGCTCCGTGTACGCAGATACGGATTTCACGGATTTTAGCCAAATCCGAAACCTGCACCTTAACCTGAAATCATTGCCTATTAGCAGATATGAACTGCAATTTTCCTGTACCATGGCAGATACGAACCAACAGAAAAAAAATGATAAAAGTACCTGCATCCCACATAAATGTTAACCTGTATATCCATAAAAAGCAAGTAAACTTAAATCAGTTTTCATTGTATACATCGATTTATTTTGTATCTTAGCAGAGTGATAAAAAAAAAACACATTCTTCCTTCCTTTTGCTGCATAATGAAGCTCTTCTTTACTCAGTCATATTGCTATTCTAACATGTACTAAACCTACCTTACCCTTAACTAGAATCTTTATCACACCTAACCTAAATGTACAATATAACCTTATCTCCTGACTAAATGAACTATACCCTCAATACTAGTATGCTATACCTTACCCCAAAAAAGAATCTAACCTAAATAGATAATGCCCCCTCCTCTTTACTCTACAATAGCCCTAACTTCTATCTTACCTAACCTAAAATGAAATGCACTAAACCAAGCTAAATTACATCCTAGCTATATATATTTTATTATATTTAACTATCCTACAGTACTATCTAACTTTTTTTCTACCCTTAAGGCTGAACTTCCTCTTTTTCTTAGCCCTTTACTCCAAGTCATCATCAGTGTCATCCTCATCCTGAATCATTATCCTTGAGCTTCTTCCTCTCTTTCTCCTAACAATGTTAACTTCCTCCTGAACATTCTCCTCGTCTCTCACTCTCTTTCCCCTGACTGTCTGTTCCTTCTCCACATCACTACCCTCACTATCACTCCCCATGTCACTTTCCCCCCCAGTGTTCTCGTTGTCCCTCTCACTGCGTGCCTCATCCCCATCCTCAATCTCTTCTGTCTCCACCTGGCTTCCCCCAGCTGCTTCCTCCTCACTCCTGCTCCTCACGTAGGCCCTGCCGACCTTGGTCGGCGTGGCCTCACTGCTCGGCAGGTCTGAGGGAATCCTCGGCGTGGCTCTCCTGGACTTCGCTTTCTTCTCCATCGCCTGTTTGCACTTGTTCAGGATCTTCTCCAGCTTTCGGCTCCTCCAAGATGGCTGCTTTACCAGCCACCTGTCGCAGTCCTCTGTGTCGGTTTCCTCCTCCGACATCAGGCAGGCTTTGGCTCCCTCCAGGAACTCCTGTTCTGCCCGGCTCAGCACAGCCTTCCCTGCCAGCTTTCTTCGGTCAAAGAGCTGTAAAAAAAAATACCGGAATCATGTTTATTCATTTACAGGTACATTGTATACGTCTGGAATAACCTAAACAAAACATTAAAGCTATGTCCATCTTTAAATATTTTCAAATCCCACGTCAAAGCTGATTTCATTAATGACTCCGCACTTTCCTAGATCATCTTTTCATATACTACGTTCTTATATATTATTACATTGTTTCATGTTCTTACTGATTGATTTACTAATTTGCTATATTTTCATTTGTTTGTAGCCAAACACATTGGTTTTGTTTGGTTCATGCATTGTTTGTTTACTTATGTTAAACCTGATCATTTTGTTTATATGACTGTTTTTGCTTATTTCTTTAATTGATTCATTATTTTGTTTCATTGATGTAAGAATATAATGTTAGTTCACATGGGGGGAGTTGTCATACAAGCCTGTGGCTTTTCCTCTACCCCTGCATGTTTATTTGTTTCTGTTATACTTATGTTTTGCAAATTTTGCTTTTATTTTGTATGTGCAATAAATAAAACAACAATAAAACAACAATAAAACTACTATACTAGTACATATTGTACACAATCTTTTGGTTTTCCTGCTCCATTTAGCAAAATGTAGACTCAGCTTGGATACAATAAAATTTTGAAATACAGAAAACATTGATTTGAAGCCTTTCCAAGAATTTATCTTTAGTTGTCTCCAGTGAACCACTGGAACAAAGAAGACAATGGTGTCACCAGAACTTGAGGAGGGCGCTCCAAACAGACCACAATAGATACCTAACTTTCTGTTTAATCTGAAGGAAGTGTAGCGAGTAGACAACAAAAAGGACCTTTTGACAAATTCGTAGGGACTCGGCCCCAATTTTTAAAAGGACTTAGGTTACCTGTATGTAGTGGTCAGATTCGCTTGGAGTCTCTTGGCTTGAGTGACCACTACAGACAGGTTTGACTGTTTTTGACAAAATATCTATACATAAACATACAACGAAAGTTCAGCTACGCTGGGGAGCTTTCGAGGCGTACTCTGTCTCTTCAGCAACCTGATTCAGATCTCGTGTTGGAGTTCTCTTGTCACATGACTTGATGGGATAATCACATGACAAGAGACAGTCATATACAGGTTTTAGATAGTGATGCCCCCTGTCCTTGTTTAAGGTACTGCGTTGTTGGCGGATCTGGATTGCCTCCCAGACACCCTTTGCAAACCAATCAGAAGGTTTGACTATACTTATCACACACTATCAAATGCCATATGTATATGGCCAAAGGACAGAGAAACTACAGGTGTACAAGACTCACCCTGGTGCGTCTGTTAGTCCTCTTCCTCTCCTTTTTCTGTGCTTCATCCTTCCCCAACGCAATACTCTTCTCCCTTCTGCGAATTGTGTCATGATAGTTCTTACACGACTCTGAAAAATATCAGATGTACAAAGTGTGAATATCCATATCTACCTTACAGACAGAAGTGAGAAGATTAGGAACAAAAAGAGGACTGTACATAAAACACATGGCAATCTCGAGGTTCTTATACACAACCACTTATTCTAAGTGAGCAAAAGTTCCGAAGACAATGTCATCTCTTCGCCAGGGTAATCATGACTGGTGTACGGGGAACCGTGATGAGGGGGGATTCAAGTCATGATTTGTGATGGTCCACAGTTTCATTACTGACAATTGTTTTATCATTGTTCTCTCAGCTATATGTATCTGACAATCACAACCTACTGTAACCAAATACCAAAAACATGGTGTCCTGTGCCAAGTATGCAACATTGGCTCAGCACTGATGAATAACATGTACCGTGTATCAAACTATTCATTACATTTGCAACTGCATCTTACTATGTTGTCACAAAATCTATGTACTATGTATTTTTTTCAGTGCATAGTAAACCAGTGACACCTAGCTTTAGTGCACAGTAAACTAGTCACACCTAGCTTCAGTGCACAGTGAACCAGTCACACCTAGCTTCAGTGCACAGTGAACCAGTAACACCTAGCTTCAGTGCACAGTGAACCAGTCACACCTAGCTTCAGTGCATAGTAAACCAGTCACACCTAGCTTCAGTGCACAGTGAACCAGTAACACCTAGCTTCAGTGCATAGTCACACCTAGCTTCAGTGCACATTGCACCAGTACACCTAGCTTCAGTGCAAAGTAAACCAGTAACACCTAGCTTCAATGCACAGTGAACCAACCTGATTATGGAGGTACATGATAACATCTGGAATTTATCTCTGGGAAATGAAGTGCATAATGGTTCCAGTAATAATTGGACTTACTAGTGATGTGAGACGCATGCCACTGTTCACCTGTCTCCGGGTCATCCCTCAATGCCCTCTCGATGAGCTTCGTCACCGCCCTATTGTGGTCCGACTTGAACCTGAAATGCAGTAATACTATATTACATTGAGATTTACAACAGAGAACTGATCACTTCGATTGATTTCCACTCAGAACCACTCAGATTGTAGGAAGTATATATAGATCACACTAAAACTGTTCACAAACTATTACCATTTTTTTCTTTGAAACTTCATATGTGGTAACAGCAAATAAAAATCCACATACACCTACATTGTATATATATATATTTAGTAATAGTATCATACATGGACCAGTGCAGATTAGGTGCAGGTAGACATCAGAAATACCTACACAGACCCAATTTTACCTGCACTGAAGTGCATGGTATTTCGAGCCTTGTACAAACACGCACACACAAATATATAATATATATATATATACTATATATCCATAATCTTACAGCCTATTATACTAAGAAATAAATTCACTCACGTTTCAGCTCCCTTGAACTCCATGTCTCCCAGCCCATTGTGGATTTCCCTCACCTTCCGCTGTGCAGAGGAAAATCACAAAAATAAGTTAAAAACACATTTTTCTTACTTCATGACAAAATCTGTTTAACTAATACAAGAATTCAGTGACATTATACTGCAGAATGTCATCATAAATAATGAAATTAAGTCCTCATTCACCAGTTTCCCATCCACAGAATGCAATGCAAAAATACGGGGGTAACCCTCATTTGCATAGGACTGGAAGGCATCGAAATGATTCAACCCATCGTAATTTAATTAATGTTGAGCATAAAATGCCCCAACACCTCAAAACACAGTGAAAAGCAAGCTGTTTAACGTCAACAGGATCATTCCGATGCCTTCCAGCCCTATGCAAATGAGGGTTACCCCCGCATTTTCGCATTGCATTCTGGGGATGGGAACTGGTGAATGCACATACATGCAAAAATCTTGAAAATAATCTGTTCCTTTCTGGACAACCCCTTTGAAAGATTTCCAAAAAAGTCCCCTGCAAGTCCGGAACAAGTTGCTTAACCCACACCACTTATATAATCATTCTAAGTCAAAAAGCTATCGGCTAACAAAAATCAAGACCATAGTAGGTCTGGTTTCACATTTGACCTTGCCTTCGTCCTTCCTTTATCATCGTACAAAGGGGGAAACGCACACACAGGCAGACACACGGGCCAAAACACTTCATCAATTTTTCTTCAGGTTATCATAATTACAACCAAATAATTGGTAAAACTGTACTTACACTCAGTCTTGAGGGCACCTTCGTTGGTGTAGCAGCAGTGGATGCTGGCGCGGGTGGTGGCTGCTCCTCTATCTTGGCCATGATGTCATCCAGCCCCTTTTTCATCTCTCCTTTGAGACTATCAAGTCCACCCTGGAACTGACTAACTGCATCCGAGAGTGTAGAGAGAGCCCTGTAAAAAGACAAATGTTTCAGTATTAACACATCTTTCTTAAAATTTCAATGAGCAAAGATGCATGTGTGTTTATTCAGTCAATAATGAATAAGTGTCCATTTGTCTCCATATCAAGTTCATATAGATACCCAGTTTGTAAGAGCATAGGTTAAGATCTCAGTTGGAGAGCTATTGTAGCATTTGTAAGGGGGTATCATAAAGCCACCACTGAGCTGTACTTGTATGCTGTCACTCAATAATAGCATAGTGCCATCAGAAAAAAGGTGAATTGGGTGAAAATTATGAAGTGAGTCAAGTGACTAATGGCTAGAATTTGCAAACACGTGAGCATCCTCACGGCTATTCACAAGTGTCCCATTCCCAGAATGCATAGCGCCCATTCCCAGAATGCATAGCGCTTTGTGGTCTTTTTAACCCGGATTGATGGAACATGTGATTTTTAACGTTACAGCCGTGGTTACACTTGTTTCTATATTTGACAGTATAGCATTACCACTGTAACATTACAAACCATATGTTCCATGTTAAATTTCACAAAAATTTAATTCTCTATTTGTTGTCAGATTCTGTTGATTGTTGAACCTAAAATGCCCCCAACACCTCAAAACACACAGATTAACATCAACAGGATCTTGGTACTTGAACCTTCTGTGCTATGCAAATTAGGAGATTTACCCCCCAGGTACTAGGTGCTATGCATGCTGGGAATGGGTGCTATGCATGCTGGGAATGGGTACTATGCATGCTGGGAATGGGAATAATTGGTACCAAACCAAACAAATTTCTAGAATACTGACAAAAACACCACTATGCATCCCCAAATTTTGGGTTGACTTATTAAATAAATCACGCAAAAAATAGTAAGATGTGATCAATGTAAGTACAACTGTATCCACATGTTTCCAACAAGCATAGCCTTGTTGCTATGCATTTGATTGACAGCGGCGCACATCTGGTCTGTCTTTAGAGGCAATGGGAACTAATTTATGACCAACAATTAATTCTAAAATGTTAGTGAAATCATGTTGGTTTTCACTTGATTATTCGCTAGAAACGGTTACTAGGAAATTGCGTGATATAGATTCTAGGATTACTAGCTATAGCAAATTGCTCCGGATCAAGTACTGTGATATGGCAGTGATGAATGAATGACAAATTATGTGGCTTTAGGAAATGTTGAAAAATGTCAGACCACCGACCCCCACCGAGCCACCCAAGCCATCAAAAATCTAGACCAGAGACCGTCCAAATTCATGGGAAGCCAACCTAACGTTATGTGTCCGAATTCCTAGCGACATATGACTTAGAAAAAAATTCGTTGTAGGGTGCTGGGGAGGGGGGTCTAATCTATCGTGGTTGGGGTGGGTTTTCTTCGGGGCCAGTGCTCTTCTTCCCCGCCGGGGGAACCAAGCTGAGTCGGGCGAGGAAGCGCCCCTGCAGGTCAGTTTTCTTCGGAGCTGCAGGACCGACTCAGCTTGGTTCCCCCAGCGGGGAAGAGCACTGGACCCGAAGAAAACCCGCCCCAACCACGATAGACTGGACAGCGGCTAGGGGTGGTCCGGTATACAGTTGGTAAAATGTTTTTGCAACCATCTGAGGTGCAAATTTCGCCCAAACGACTTCGCTTATATCTAATATCTGATCGGCATGATTTTTTTCCTGGGAGGTCAGGGGTGGGAGGGTCGACATCTGAGTTTTAAAAATAAAACGCAATCTTACCTCCAGATGTCCTTGTTCGACGGCCCAGCTTCACCCGGCGAGCTTCCACTTGAATCCTTTGGCGTTTTCTTGCGCTTGTCAGAGCGGGACAGCAGCCCAGAAAGTTGGCGGCCAGTTGGGGTAGTACGGTGCGACATGATGGTGTAGATTCTAAGAGAAGTTTTTTAAGCGACGGAGCGAAAAGTGTACTGCCAGATGCGAAAGCGAACTGTACAGAATGAAGTTTGGCGGGCATGGCACGTCACACAGACTCCCCTGGGTACCGCCCAGTAACACTTTTCCACAAGCCTGATTGGTCATCGGCACGATAAAGGGTAGTCTGTAATCCGTCAGTGCTATTCATTTCGCCGACCCTTTGATATTCACAGCCCATGTTGTAGCGGAGTGGCTAGTTAGCACCTTCGCGTTGTCACTGTCGGCTCCTTTCGAGCCAATTCTTTTAGCTTCTCGGAATTTAGCGTCTTGGCCAAGATGCGAGAATTGCTGTTTAGCATTTTGATTAGCCATTGTCCCTGGCGCCACAGCTCTCAAAGTCGGACGGAGACGGAGCCGTGTGTGTCTGTGACAGTGGCATTCATTCATTTGCAATTTTGTTGGAAGTCACGGCCTGCAAAATGCCACGTAGCAAGCGAAAAAAGAATCGTGAAACATCAGACCGCTGGTGTGGGCATTGCCAGGACATTGTACCAAAATCTACTTACCATGAGCACTGCAACCTGTATGGAAAAGCTGTGTGCGATGATGGTGGTGACATTTCCAGTGTGTCCAACCCACTTCTGTCAAAGAAGGTGAGTCCCAACTTTTTGTCCCAATCATTGATTTATGCAAGTTACCACATACATCCCGAAAATCCCATGTCTTTATCCCGTCTCTTTATCCCTATTTTTGCTTCAAATTCTACAAATATGTGTTAATACCTTCACGTTTACTTGCAGCAAAAGTTGACCGGACGGACAGACGAAGAATCATGTGACAGCGCCGAAAGTGTCTCTTCAGGCATGGAAAGCACAGATACCAACCAACTGATGACAGAAGTTAGCAAGGTACATGTACTAGTAATTTTTTTTCTTCAAGATATGAATACATATGATGGATGCATGATGGATCGGCCATAATTTGATCTGTACACCTGCGGGTTTACCAAGTTTCAAGTCAAGGCCATACCAATTTAAATAATTGGTTCTCGGAGTCGACCACTTCATTTTTTCTGATTTACAAAAAAAAAAAAGGGTTCAGGCTCTGCATCGACTCCAAAATCCAAATTGCTCATATTTTGGCCCAAACAGTGGAAGAAAGCTGACTTTGTCTTGTTATTACGGCTTTTCCACGGTAACCACAGCTTTTCCACACATTATGCATTGGTTTGACAAAAAGGTCAAAATTCACTGTTTGAATTACAAACCAGCCAGGTATTCATGGAGCAACATGGCTCTTATCATAAGCTTTTAGGGCTATCAGAGGATGCCTTTTTTTCACCCTGCCGCTTCATATTTCTCCTGAAAAAATCTGAGAACCATTACAAGAAATTATAGTGTGGCCTAAAGGCATCCAATGTGATTTCAGAATTCATCAACAAAACTGGAAATATTGTAAGAATAAGGGTTGCCCACTTCTGAATAAGGCAATCTTTATGATATTGACACATACTGCTTCACAGCAGCACGTTTCAATCAGTATTTCATACTTTGGGTATTCAAAACAACTACAGAAACAAGCCCCAAGAGGAGTTTTTTTATTTTATTTTTATAGGTGGTACCCTAAAAATCAGCCAGGGGCCTTTGTCTTTCCAGTAATAATTTCCCATCAGAAATTTGGGTATTTTGCTCCATGAGGGTCAATGTACATTGGAATAGTGCGTTTTCAACTCAGTTATGTAGATTTTTGACTAGAATGATATTTGACTTTGAAAATCTGGTTCCCAAGCCCTATAAACTGCATTGGATTCACTGTTCATTACAATGTATGTAAATGGGGGCCTGCATGCCCTTTTCCATAAGGTGTAATCAGGCCTTTTTAGTCTTTTAGGCAGCCTCCTCAAAAATAATGTAATTAGTATACATTAGCCACAAAGCATAAAGTCATAATCAACTCTGAGACTTTAAAGTAATTCTTAATCGGCGGCGAAAATTTTGTATTTTCGTAATCACTACGCCCCATGCAGTAGCCTGGTTACCAAACCTATTATAGCTCCCGAGTCCTACATCCTCT